TAATTTTTTTCTTTTTTATAAAAAAATTATTTATATTTAGTCAAATAAATAAAAATAATAATGAATAATTTTTGCCAAATTTTGATATTTTACGATGTGTGAATTTTTTTTTTGCTTTTTTTTAAGAAATAAATTTTAAAAAAATTTAATGAAAATCAATGCAAACTTTAAATTCAATTTAAAAATTTTGCATGAAAAAAAATCTCCCCTTTATACTTCTAAGAAAATTGTTGATTAATTCGTTTTAATTTCTAATTGCATATTTTTTACTTATTTATTTTTTATTAATTTTTATTGTTACTTGTTTTTTTTTGTGAAAAACAAATTGACAAATTTTAATTAGTTTTTATTTTTTTTTCTGAAATAATGAACGAATAATATACAAATTATTTTATTTTATTTCTCACAAATAAGTTAAAAATTAACGCAAATCGAATTTATCGTTATTTTTTTTTTTTTTTTGCTAATTTCATGTTGATTCGCGTGACAAATAATACCACCAATATATCACTAAAAATTCAAATTTAATATTATTTAATAAAAAAATTTTAAAAAAATTTTTTGTTTTCGTATTGGCGAAAAAATTCTTATTGCAAACAATTTATTTTTCTTTCTCTTTTTTTTCTTATTATTTCCAGTTGATTAAATTTAAATAAGGAAAAAAAAAAGACTTAAAAGATATCAAAAACGACGCAAAAAACTTTTACAACAATTACAAATTGCATAATTTGTTTAAATAATTTTTTTTTTTAAATTTTTAAATAATTTGGAAAATTATTTGAAAAAAATTTTTCTATTGCATTTTTTATTTTTAATCAATATTATTTTATTTTATATTATTTGGAAAATGAAAAAAAAACAAAATTACCATTAAAGCAAGCAAATAAAGTGGGAAATAATTTGGCAGCGATTGAATCAATTCGCGCACTCGACGGATAATTTTTCATTAAATTATTTTTCGATTTTGTTGATAGATTTAAGCGATCTTTCAAATATGCATTATTATTATCGCTGAAAATTTTTTAGTTTTTCTAAATTATCTTTTTTTTTCAGGCAATATTCAAATTTTTTTTTTTTTTGGTTCTTTCACGCTTCCTAAGGAATCATTTTGGTGATAGAAATACCAATGACCGCCGCATTTTTCAACATTTTTTCTTCCTAAAAGCCACGTCGACTTGTTGGATCGTACGAATTTTGCGTAGAATCACGTAGCGGCAATAGATCGTCAGTAGCACGAGAACTTTTACATGAGGAACTTTATTTCCTACATTGAATGGAACTCTAATATTGATGCTTTTAACTACGAGCAATATTCCACTCGTATTCCACTCCTCCTTTATCACTTTTAATTGTATTAAAATAAGCATGAAGAGTAATTCTAAATTTTGCCATTAAGAGGAGAAAAGTGGCGCTAAAAAGAAAAGTATAATATGGTACTACTCCAGCAGAATANTTTGATTAGGCGCTATCTCATGGTGGATGGTACTTTAATAGAAGATAATTCCACATAAACTAACCAGGTTTGACTCACATCCCAAAAATCATCTGCAATATATAAAGATAGCTGTGTATTATTTTCTGAATTTGAAGCCTCTTTCATTTCTAAAATTTTTTTATTTTTTCGAAAATTAGAACTATTGGAATTCTTTCGATGCAATAATGAAGAACTACAATTGAATTTAAAATCACTGCGATTTGTCTTGAAATAGCGATTCGGTGAAGCAAATAGCGATCTGTAAATTATTCTAAATTATAAGAAGAATAAAGTACGATTTCGATTTATTCTAGTAATATTTTAGTAAAAAGGAACAAACCGAGATTGAAATGCTCGCCTTGATATTCGCCTTCGTTTTGGCAGAAATGTGTAATCATTTTTATCAAAAGCACCAACAGCTGCGAGTTCAACAAGGCTGAAGAAAATAAACGCAACACAAACGAAGAACCATAAGTCAACAGCCTTAAAATCCTTTATGAAGAGAAATACTTATTAAACACCTAAATAGCGATAGAGATAGCGATGATTCAACATCACTATCAATATCACTATCAAAATTTTGAAATTATTAATTTTATTCTCGTCAAAATTAAGAAGATTAAGGATCTATGAAATAGGTCGGTGGCGTTTTAAAATTTTGTCGAAATTCTTCAATAGGCCTTTTTATAAATCGGCTTTTACTTATAGCAATCAATTAAAGATTTGAAAATTTGTATAATCGAAAACTTAATTTCGGATGGTTCCACTTTTCGCTTCATTTTTTTTTTTAGGTAATAAGTGATTTAAGTGATAAAAAACTTCTATGAAATTTATTAACGTTTTAATGATATGTGATGAATGATAATTTGCTAATATTTTATTAATGAATTAATAAAATCGATTAATAAAAAAGGCCGATAAAAAAAATAGTTGAAAAAATTATAAAATTTATGTGTAAAACTTATAAACATAAAACTAAAAAATTTTAATTCGAACTTACAATTTTATAATCATTCATTTATTTATTTAATGCTTAATGAATTTATTAAATAATAAAAAAAATAAATAAGAAAAATATCGAAAAAAAAGATACAATTTTAAAAATCTTTTTTTATAAAATTGACATTTTTATGCATATATAAAATATATTAAATATTATTATATAAAATAATTTTTAAAAAATTTGAGAAAAAAACTTCCCATTAAACTTTCCAATAAAAATGGGAATTTCTTATTTTTTAAAAATGAATATATAAACTTACTTTTACAAAAGAAACTCGAGGTAAATTTTTGACAACATTTCCAAACTGAAAAATTTTTTTATAACCATTTAATTATTTTGAAAATTATACACAGTTTTGCGAGAAACTATTAGTCTATATTCTCCAATCAGTGGTAATTTTCAACAATTTCAACAATTTTAAATTGTTTTTGCTAGAAAATCACCATAGTATACAAATATAAGATTCTCTGGCGCTCATTCGAAACCCATTTTTAGAAGCTTAGAGGTTGAGCCTATGGTACTTTCAAAGTGGTTGAATGGTTCTTCGTTCATAGAATCTTGGAAAAAAAAATAATATAAATTCTATGTAACAGTTCTATGAATCAATGAAATTTTATTTAAACAGTACAAATTTTTTTAAATGAATAAATTATTGATGTAATTTTACAATTTTTATAAAAGAATGAACCAAATAAAATGAAAATTGTACCAAGAAAATTTCGCTTATTTTTTAAAGCTTTCTTGAGCGAAATTTATCGAAATCGACTTCGATAATAACGAAATACAAATTTTCTTTAAGAGAAAGAGAAATTACTTGAATATAAGCCTCAGCTTGAGATATAAAAAATCATGCATTAATAATTTGATTAAATTTATGCGAATCCTATAAAAATAACTATTCTATTCGACGAACCTGAAAAGTTAGAGCCATTAAAGCGCTAACTCCTAGAGTTATTCGAGCGGGTAAAGATCGAGAATCAAGCCAAAATGCAATCCATGAAATAAAAACCGATAAATAAGTCGGAAGATACATTTGTAGTATGTAATATCCATAAAGTCGTTTGAACCTATAAGTAAGCAAAACCTGTAAGAGAAATCGTGGAAAACTTATTTGAGAAAATAAAGGAAATCGGATGAAATTGTTTAAGAAAATATGGGAATGTAGAGAATGCCGAAGGGAATATAAGAAAAGGCATAAAAATGGATCTACTTACTACAATTTATATTTTATTCATATCGCTTTTATACATTTATACGGTCCATTTTTAACAATAACAGCTTCTCATATAAATCCATCAGCCTTGAGAGCCTCTAACGTGATCAAACTGTTCCAATTTTATTCTCAATTATGTTAGAAATACCTAAAAGTGACTTTAAGTTGATCCCATAGCCCAGCTGTATAGTCTTCAGTCGTTTTCGTCCATGTCACGTTATAAAATTGAAAATCCGGTAAACGTAAAGGATTGTTGTCTGGCATGCGAACAGCATCCCACGCTTGCCATAATAAGCGCACTTCTGCTATATTATAAGAATACGATTCAAATATAAGCATACATTCCTAAATTAAATTTTTATTTAATTTAAAAAAAATTTTTCCCAAAGCAAACGAAGATTATTTATGGGGAAATACCTGGCTATCAATCGGAAAATAACTTAAATGAAAGATGCAAGGGCCCGAAACCCGAACTCGATAATTGAGCCAAATCGTACCTAAAGAAAAAAAATCTCCACTACTACAATTATTTAATATATAAGAACTCCATAAGACCATAAGAATATCCAGAAAAATTCAAAAATGCTACCGTTAGGATAAATGATGAGCAGAACATTGCTTGCAGGTGACTTGTGAATCTCGCTATGTTTACTATTAACAAAACATACATTTGGTGTCCATAAACGTTCGCTTACTGAACCGTCCAGTGAAAGATTTGTTCGACACGAAATATCTCTGTAAAAACAAAAACTAAGATGATTTTTTTATATTCACCAATTTATTACTGATGAAGAAGGGGAAATTCGTTTTAATTATCCAGAAAGAAGATTGGTTTAATGGATCCTTCTCATTTCGGAACGCTGATAAAGGAGTTTTATTATTTGCACGAGTAAAACTTTCAGTAAAGCTTTCAAAAATCCGTATGGTCCTAGCGATCTCACATATATTTCTATCGCTAAATGGCTCTAAAGTAAAATCTCTCAGAAGCCAGCGGAATTTTTCTAGCACCAGAAAAGATGAGCTCATTTGGAGAAAAAATTTTTTTTCACCCATAAGCTGACGATTACCTAGTTTAAGTGCAAAATTTAAAAAAATTTAGCGATCAACTAAAAACAAATATTCTAAGACACCAATGTATTTTGAATTAATTTCCGACGATGAGCATTTTAAAATTTTTGAAAATTACTTGTACGCTAATCGTGGATCTTCCCATATTTGACTGAACCAAACGTCTGCAACGAACGATCCGGTCATTTCGGATATTGACGATATATCTTGAACCGTTAATTCAACATTAACTTCAATCGATTCATTTGATGGTAGTACTGTTTTATCATAATCAGCCATAATATCAGCTAGAACACTCTTACGGTGATTTATATTTTGTTCGCATCCTTTCCTTTTCATATTTACTGATTTTTGTTGGCTAATTTCGCGCGATTTAGTTTGCAAATAAAGATATTCTAATTTATTTGTTGTCATCAATCTTCCTAAATTTATATTTTCATGAATCTTTATCATTTTCATTATCATTATTATTGATGTTATCACTGTTGTTATCATTATTATTATTATTTATTGAATAAATTATTAGCGAAAAATATCTCTCATTCAACTTTCATACTTCAGTCTCTTCAATGAATCCCTCACTTTTTCGGATTTGCATTTACTATGCATTAAAAAATGAAGATTTTAACGCTATAATTATTAAATTTTTGAATAATTGAGAAAAAATTGAAAAAAAAATAGAAATCGTAGTGTTTTTTGTTTTTTTTTTTGATGCAACAAACCATATAAATTAATTTACGAAGAACAATGAAAACCTTTTGCATCAATGATTGGATCAAAAGCATCGCTTAATTGTCGCGTAATAAAATATATAAAAATAGCATAAAAAATATTCTCCATATTGCTTTATAGAATTTATTTTTTTTCAAAAAAATTAGAATAATTCTTATTTGAAAATTTTGAAATTTCAATAGAAAAATCTGCTCTGCAAATTCGATTTTATAAAATTGTGAAATATAAAATTAAAAAAAAAAATTTTTTTTCATAATTTAATTTTTCACTGAATTTTTTTAAAATAAATTTAATGATATAAATTATAATTTTTCGAGGAATTTCTTTGATTTACGAAGATTTATAATGAAAATAAATTTTTATAAATTTTCCAAAAACTAATGAGAAGAAAAGAAGAGTTTTAATAAAAATGATAAGTGGAAATGATTACTATAAGATTTTTTGAAATATTATTTTAAAATTCCTAATAATAATTCCTAAGAATTTCCATCGAGGAACTCTGAATTCAACCATTTTAGTCTATTAGCTATGTTAAAATAAGACAACTAAAGTGGTGGTGATGAAAAATCTTGAAAAATCAACTTTAACTTCTTAAAATTTTTTTGGACGGAAAAGAATCATAAAGTAGTATAAGCCGATAAGTAGCTTATCTTAGCAAATCATTTTTTTCAATCATTCAAAAATTTTTAAAATTTCAGTAAACTAGCTTATAAAATTATAAAATATTATAATCCATGTAAAAGATAATGATAATAGTAGCATTGATAATAAATACAATAATAATAATAATGATAAGAGTAGCATTAATAAGATTAAATAAATATCATATCATATCATATCCAGGAAATAATTTTTAAGAGAAAATTCAGTGGATTTATCAGTAGTTATTCGATTCTATTCAACCTTCTGTTTTTTCTAACAATCCTCACCATTTTTGGTTTGGCTTCCTCTATTGGCTACTAAAATCTCCTCTCTAGGTTGCATCAGCCAGAAGAATTCATTTATACTTCCATCGATATACAGGAAAAAAAAATCACCAAAACGCCAAAGGTTTTTTTTGTTAACTTTTAATTTTTCACTAAATTCTTCGCTACTATTTTTCTATAAATTTTCCTAATTATTTTTTCTAGAAAAAAAAATTTTTCATTGATAATTTTTTTTTCGACGAATAAAAAGAATTAAGTTATTTAAAATAAATTATTCTATAATATTCTTTTCATTTATTAAATTTTCGATTCGTTAAATGAAAAAAGTGCACAATTTCCATTATTTATTTAAGCTAAAAATTTTCACTACTATCGCTCAAATTCGATTTTTGTCGAATAATAATTTTAACGCATTTGCCAACGATTTGCTATTTTTGTTTTTCCTAAGAGTGCTTATCATTGCTCGTTAGGCTCGCTACGCTAACTTATCTGGCCATAGAGCCATTTAGCTTCGATAGAAATGCAGACGAATCACAATTATCATTTGGATCTTTAAAGGAGAAATTTTCTCCTGTCGAGCGTAAAATTTCAGCACTGGCGTTCCGAACTGAATAACAATCTTTTGAACCATTTTATCACTCTACTGGTTGCTTTATTCCCGTTCGGCGATATTATGTCCTGACGAAATTCATTATCTCAGAATGATAAATTTATCAATTCGATTACTCATTCAATGCAAATGCATCTAGAATGAACCAAAATTTTGCAAAATTTGTAACACTAACTATTTATAATAAAGAAAGAATGTAGTTTATGATGATTATATATAAAATGAAATAGTTTTTGCTAATTTTATTGACATTTGTATAAAAATTTCAAGGGTTTATTCTCTTTTTCTCTTAGAAATTTCTTATTTCCTAATGAAAAAAATGCATTAAAAAGTGAGTCAACATCAGTTAAAAAGAGAAAAAATTAATAATAATAATAATAGTAATAATAATAATAATATTAGTAATAATAATAATAATAATAATAATAATAAAACGGCCGTTTTTTTTGCGCTACTAAAAGAAAGAAATCGTAAATTAAAGAAATTTTTTTGAATATAGCTTAATTAAATATTAATTTAAAATATATAAGCGAATAAAATTTGAAAATTTAATGAAATTTTTTTTTGTAGAACGAGTAGAAGCGAGGAAAGAATTCGATTATGCTTGTATATTTTTATGTATTTTCGAATAAATAACGCTGTTTATTGCTTGGATTATTGCTTCAGGGCTTGAAAGCTTCTTTTGCGATGGGTTTATGAGTTTCGTTTTTTAAGAAAAAAGAGATCTCTTTGCTTCTTCTTCTTCAACTTTTTCAACTGCAAATTCCGAAAAATTCGACAACTGTGGTGAATTCTCTTATAAAACTATAAAATTCTTGCTAATATCAGTGAAGGAAACCAAAAATGATGAATGCAAATACTAACGAACCAACTAAATAAACCATTAAATTTAATCAAATTCGATATTAAACCAATGATTTCAATTAATTGTGCAAGAATTTATGTAAAAAAAAACACATTAACAAGGATATTTTTTAAAAATTAGTTTTTTTTTACGAGAAATATTTATTGAATATTTATTTATTAAATAGTTGAGTAATAATAACATATTAAAAGGAGATTTTGGTTATATAGCGAAATTTTGGTTTGGTTTGATCTTTAATTTTTTTTTAAGAGCCCTCATCATTAATGGTTAAACTCGCTTGTTGCGTTAGGCAAATGTCCTAGGGAGCCAGGGAGTTTTCTTAGCGATAGAAATGCAAGTGAGTTCGCTAGTCTAACTCGGGATTTTTCGATAGATTCAGTCTTGCGAGGGAATAGAATTTCAGCATTGGCGCTACGAATTGAGCAACCACCACTCTGCTCTATTCTATTTCCTCAAAAGAGTTGTGTAACGAGATTTTGATTTAAAATTTTTAGAATTATAATTTTATAAAAAAATTTGATAATAATCGAAAAATTTTTAAATTCTAAAAGATCAAATACATATAAAATTTTTTATTTTTCATGATAAAAATGGATAAATTTACTAAATTTCGAAAAAAAATTTAAATTAAATCGCTTATTTCAAATACTGTTAAAAAGTTAGGTTGGAAAAGTTTATTTTAGGTTTAGGCTTAGGCAATGATGCTACAAAACAATGTAAAAAGAAATCGAGGGTTTCGCAATTTTTTTGGCTAAATTCATGATTTTTTTTGCAGTTGAACGTTTTAAAATCACTGATCATTGATAACGCTGATATCGCTATTTTAGAAATTCAATAGCAATAAAAATTGTTAATTGATTTGAAGAAAATGAATGAATAAAACGTTGTTAAGAATTTTTCATTAAATTCTATCATTTTTCATAAAAAATAATAAAATACAATAAAATCTTAAATATTCTTAAAAATTCTGTAATTTTAAATTATTAATAAATAATAATGAATGAAAAACTGAAAACAAAAAGAAGAAAGAAACGAAGCGATTATAAATAAAATTTTTCTGATAAGTTCATTCAAGCGTTTTAAGATTTACGCAATTTATGCAATCGCTCAAGCGCATTTTTGAAAATTTAAAACTCATTAACTGAACGCATAAAATCGGTTCTGCCAAATACGAATAATCACCTATAGAAAAGAAATTTTGAGTCTTTCGACACTAATCATAAATCATAGTTCTTAGCGATTATGATAGTGATGTTGGTGAATGATTGCTGCGGAAAGAGTCGAAATATGTCAAACTAAATTATTCCCTTTGTTGATTGCTATTATCATTGTTATCATCGTTCTATGCATTATTATCTAATATATTATGTTCCATGGCTTGCTTTGGCTTGGACATTCGATTATCATATACATTAGGAATCCTCCTCGTTCCTCTTATGAACGAACGAAGCATAGTAATTTCATTTTTACCATTATTCCTATTTTTGAAATTGCTCACCATTGATGGTTAAGCCTGTTGCCATGACTTGTAAGACGAAATGAATTTTATTTATCATAGAATCCACTTGGCGATCGATGCACCGGTGAGTCCCCATCGGATTTTAAGAGACGGGTTTATTTTTGCCAAGCGTAAATCTTTCTCCTCGGTTTAGCTTCAGTCTGAGCAATCATTTTAACTCCCTTTGATTTCGCTGTTCAGCGACTCTGCCATGCGACTAAACGTAATACATTGGCCGAGCTCGGCTCGTTCTCGATTGGTGGTGGCAATCAACTTGCCAAGGCGCATAAGCATTATTTATTATATAATATATATTCATGAAATATTTTGGTTATTACTTAATATAATGCTAAATAGGAAAAAAAAATTAAAGAAAAAGAGAAGAAAAATGAAAAAAAATTGAGAAAAAAGCTAGTAAAAACTTAAATTCAACCATTTATGAAAATATTTTAAATAAAAATATTTATTAAAATTTTGTAACTTTTACTTAAATATAATTTTTTTTTACGAAAATAATAAAAATTGAATTGAATTATAGTTGAAAATTTTGATTCGTTTCAACTGGGAGGTAAATCAATTATTCGACTAAATTTTAAATTTTCTGCAAAAAAACCTTCTAAATTGATCAACGAATTTCTCACAGTATATTTCTTGAAGCGTAATTAGTTCGGAAAAAAATGATGCAAATGAAAATTTTTTTAGAATTTCATTATTGTAAATAAATTTCTCTCTTTCACCTTTTTATTTATTTCTATTTATGGAATTGTCTTTTTCACACCGCGT